ATGCAGTCTCCCTGGTGACCACGTTGGTCACCAATAAGGGAAAGTGAGAGAAAAACAGTAATGAAGCTGTGAGCTAAGTCCTACAACATTCAATAGACTCCTATGAACCCGGGTGGAGACCTAGTTGCTCAGTAGTATGACAAGACCTGGGGACTCTTGGGCCCAGAGTCAGTGACATAGCCACAGAGGACAAGAATGGAGAGTGAAGCATCTAGCTGATAAGAGAGGGCATATGCATAAGAACACTTATACTTGCAGATAAAACCCACTTGACCTGGCTTCTATGACTGGATGATCAGAGCTCAACTAGAAGAAAGAAGAAGGACAAAAGAGTAATCCGATACAATTTGATGAACTTGACCTACACCTATGAATGCAGTAGCTCAAAAGAGGGAACAAATCTTTACAGCAAGGATCATTCCTACCAACTTGGTACACAGGGTAGACAAGGATGGGCAACTTGGACACTGGCTACCCAAAATGGGGGGGGGGGGGCTACAAAGGCAAGAAGTGACTGGCTCACAAACTTTCAAGACGGGGCCTAGATCCAGAGGGTGTGTAGGAAGGTAGAATCGCCACCAAGTAGTATCCAATCTGTCTGGGCAGGGTTGATGAAAGGAGATGGGGATAGGACTCTTGTGGTACATTAGTGAATAACTGCTATCAGGACTGACTGGGAGTTGTGTAAAGGCAGATGTTTTGTAGTAAAAGAAGGGGAATGGTTGACTTTACAGTCCAGGAGCAGCGGTCCCTGGGACCATCAAGGGAGAAAAGAGGAGTGCGGGGCCCTACCCAGAGAAACAGTGACACCAAAGATGGAGGCAGAGACAATGATGTGGCGCAATGGAGTGGCTGGGGACTCTAGACCCAGAGAGGGAGAGGGGCTGTGTGCTGACAACCGAGGGGCAGGCTTGCAGTCTATACCCTTTGGTTGTTTGATGACGCATGGAAGGGATTATAATCATGGCAATGAAACGATATACAATAGGATGAATGTAAAGCGAATGTTCTCCCATGTAAACTATCACAAAATTCACAATAAAAACTTTAAAAAAAAAGAAAGAAAGAAAGAAAAAGTTGACTGCATGACATGTACCTTACATTAAGGTCTACAGCTGCAGTTATCCACCATTTCAATATTAATTAATCCAGTGTATGGATCATTATAAAAAAAAAGGGGGAAATTAGTAAAGCCACTGATGCAGCTATGCCAACAGGCATGAAAACTTTGTACTTTCTGCAAAACACATTTTATCACATACTGAAAATGCAGCTTTCATTTGAGTGCAGAGTAGCATGCATGACATACAAAACATGCTTATGTCATCAGTAAGTTTTATGGTCAACAGTAGGCTAGTAGTAGTTAAGTTTTGAGGGGGTCAAAGATTGTACACTGATTTCCAAATGCATAGGGTTTGGCACCCCTTATCCCTCACTGTTCAAGGGTCAGCTGTTAATTGAAATCGTACCCAGCACATCATAAGCCCTGTTAATGGATATTCTTGTTATTGCTATCATCATTAGCATTATTATTTTGACAATACAATGAAACAAGGCAAAACATACCTGGTAAAGGAAGAAGGTTGAGGTTGCACTTTTGAGCAATTTTCATCATCATATTTTCTTCTTCTCCCCGACAACAGTAGGTCACAGTTAGTCCCAATGTACCTAAAGCAGAGAGGGAATGTTAACTAGTAAATCACAAATGGCACTCCAAGTCCACTTGTCCATTATAGATTCCTCCCCTTAAAAAAGCACCCAAACTTTTTTTTCTTTTTACCAAAACGACCAGCTCTGCCAATCCGATGCATGTATGTCTCCCAGTCCAATGGTACATCCAGATTTACAACCAGATTCACTTTCTCAGCATCAATCCCACGGGCAGTCTTAAATTTGAAAAGACAGCAAGTGTTTGTTTGCATTAACTGCAACATGGTGACCAATGCCAGTATTCCCATGAGGTACTTACTATATTCTTCAACTATAACTATGAGTCAACTAACACAGTGGGATACCAAGCAGCAGAGAAAAAGGAAATTCATTTGTAACAACTAATTTTTTTAAAAAGTCAAAATATTCAAGATGCTTTTAAGAATGCATACTAGTATATCCTAGCACTAGAAAGACGATTATCTTCTGGTAGTCTTGTAAGATCCAGCCACATAAAATAGGTAAATCAATACATCTGATAATAGAATATTGGTCAAGATATACTAGCCACCCAACGGAACAGGAAATTCACCAAATCTGTGGAAATGAGGACTCTGCAATGAAACTGCTTCAGTTTAGCCATAGCATCAAGACGTTGATTCTGATTCATGCTGCCTAAAAAGACCCAAAAAGAACGTCATACAACACAATACTAATAACACATTTATCAAATCTTCAAAAAGCAGAAATCCTAACTCCCACTCTTAACACTTTAAATATATCAAGCACAGCTAATCCTGTTCTGTGCCAATCTGGGTTAAGACCTAAAGTCAGAATCTTTACAACTTTTATTTAAATAATCAACTTGAAATTAAAAAAAAAAAAAATTGAAATTATAGCCAAAGTATGCCTGCAAATATAGCACACAAAGTTATTACAAAACTTATTACATATAAGGTGGAACACACAGTTCATACATACACCAAAAAAAATATTGCTTTAATTGGCTGCTTACAAATTTGGTGTTAAAGTACGATTCTATAGTCTTGGGTGTGGTACTGTAGGCTAATGCACTGGACTGCAAAGTGGGTTTGAACTGTAAGGTCAGTGGTTCCAGTTCACCAGTTACTCCTTAGAAATGCTATAAAGGATCACAATGAGTCAGAACCGACTCAATGGCACTTAACAGCAACAACATGGTCAAAATATCTGTCCACTAAAAACCAGTCACCCCAGTATTTTGTGATATAGCATGACTTAACAAATTCAAACTCAGACCAAGAATTTAAAACGAAGCTGAAGCACCAACAAACCAAAAAACCTCCAAAAAAAGGTTCTCACAGATCCAAAATCCTGTCTCTTTCATTCCTATTCCAAAACCAAAACCACTGCCACCAAGTTGATTTCTGACTCATAGCTGCCTATAAACTCAGTGGAACTGTTCCCTAGGGTTTCTGAGGTTGTTAAGTCTTTACAGGAGCAGAAAGTCTCTTCTCCCACAGAGCAGCTGTTGAGTACAAACTGTTGAACTCGAGGTTAACAACTCAACTCCCAGTCCACTGTCTCTCCAGGGCTCCTTTGTTGTTGATAAGTGCCGTCAAGTTGGATCCATCTCATGGCAACCCTGTACAGGGTTTCCGAGGAGCAGCCAGTGAGTTTGAACTGCCAACCTTGCGTTTCAAACCAACCTTGAAGTCCTGTGCTTATCTTACAGCACCACATCATGACTCCTATGTTGTTGATAAGTGCCATTAAGTCGCCTCTAACTCATAGTGACCCTGTATTGTACAAGACTTCTAAGATGTGGCTGGTGGGTTTAAATCACAAACCTTGCCATAACAGTACAGTGCTTATCCTACAGTACCACACCAGGAATTCCTATTATTGTTGTTAAGGTTGTTAAGTGTCACTGAGCTGGTTCCAATTCATAGCCACCCTGTATTGGGTTTCCAAGGAGCAGCTTAGGCCAGAGTAGAACTGCCCCATACAGTTTCCAACGCTATAATCTTTACAGAAACACATGGCCTCGACTTTCTCCCACAGAGCAGCCAGTAGGTTCACATCATTGACCTTTATTTAGGTTAAAAGTACAGTACCTAAACACTGTGCCACCAGGGCTCAAGATCAGTACTAATTAGCAATAATTTGGCTTTATAGCAAAAGCTGACTTATTTTTACCTTCCATAAGACCATAAAACATCGTTCTTAACAATGATTATACAGAGAAGCAAAATATATTTCTCTTAAAGGCAAAATGACAAGCTTTCTGTTTTAAAAGATTATTAAGTTCTTCATGGTTACCAAGTGGTTAAGCACTGAACTGTTAACCAAAGATCTGGGGCAGTTTTACTCTGTCACGAGGAGTTGCTGCATCACAATTGACTAGATACCACCTAACAATAAATCCCAATACAAATCAATCTGAAATTTCCTTTACTCTGAAGTCTCAGTGTAAATGCACTGAAGAGACAGCTCATGAAGTAGTTATTTCTTCCTCCTTACTTGGGAGGCTTCAAGTCAGGATATTAAGCCAAGACAGAAACACGAACTTACCTGAAATACACTCAGCAGGAAAGCCTTTTGAAGAAAGAATATCAGCCAAATGTTGTGCTCTAGGAGAAACACCGAAGGTTATAATTTTATAAGTAATTACAAGCTCATGCCTAACCTTGTACTTCACAAGTTACCCAGATGACCTTTTAAAGTTACATTACCTACTGTGCAAATTAGAAAAGACTAAGGCTTGATTAAATGGAACTCTGCTGAACAATTCCTGTAAATGCTGAGCCTTTTCCTCAAAAGTCTTATGCGCCAAAGGGTATGAAGTAACAACTTTGTAATACTGCTTCAAACCTACAAGAAAGTCAGAATTCTTCAGTTAACACAAAGAGAAGTTAAACTATCTTATCCTGATGGCAAATAAGAAACAAAAATAGCCAATGGGACAAGGGAAAGCTCCAAAATATCATGAACAAATTACATTAACAACAGTGCAAACATCCAAAATCTGAACACACCTATGAGACTTGGATCACTGGAATTTAATCTTACAAAGGTGGGCTCTCTCATGTACTTTGTCAAAGCATTAGCCAAAAATTCAGGGTAAGTAGCTGATACTGCCAACATCTGTTTACTGGCAGGCAAAGAAGAATAGATCCAACTGGAAACAGAAAAAAAATAATAAATTCAAACAGTAATCACCACATGAAAAAGTACAAGAGCACTATTTTATAGTCAAGTTATTTATTTTTCTTACTTTATTTGCTCCTGGAAGCTGCCTTCTTCTAAAAGCTTATCTGCTTCATCAAGAATAAAAAGACGGACACTGGCTGGGTTCAAGTAGTCAAGTTCTAGGAGTTGCTTAATTCTGCCTAATTTCCAAGAAAGCACAAAGGGAAATATTTATGATGTAAATCTGTGTAACTCTCAGCTAAGGCTGCTAATCCCCCTACTACTCATGCTATGCTGAATTTCCTGACCCAAGTCTCATGATGCACTGACAAACAAACTTGAAATCCTGAGTTCTGATCTTGCTTCAATCTAGTTTTTCCCTTCCCATTTCATCATCAATATGTATGGAAAAGTAAAATTATTCTTCCAAAAGACCTGAATGCTAAGGTACTGAAAGTACGATTCTGATTCTGAGTAATCAGGAACCAAATGACTAGTGAAGAAGCCAAAGGCTAACCCAAATCCATGTCTGAGAAGGGCTTCCTGGCAGTCAACTCACCCTTCCTCTCCTCAGAAGCCTATTCCTTACGTTCTTAAAGAGCCAGAGGGAAGAACTCACGAATTCTACTGGTAACCCAGTTATGCGTCTGTATCTCACCAGTCTAATGTTCTTCAACTCTGATATCGAAATAATCATCAGAGTTCCTAAGGAATCCCATACTCTTAATGCTACATTAAAAGCATTCAGTTCCATGAAAGCCCCAGCTATCAAGCATTGACATCTCACCAGGAGATCCAACAGCAATGTGACACTTTTTAAGTCTGGTTTTATCCTGTGATAATGGAGTCCCTCCAATAAAGACATGACACTCTAAGCCTTCCATTTTAATTCCAATGGCTGTGATAACAGAATGTATCTGTACAGCAATTTCTCTTGTAGGAGCCAAAATCAAAATCTGGGGGGGGGGAAGAAAAAAAGTACATATATATAGCTTTAAGTCAAATAGATTGGCATATTCACCATTCGATGAACTACAATCATGCAATAGTTTAAAGTGATGACTAAGTTTTTACTGACAAAGGAAAATATTCCACTTATTCATTTACATAGACATTCAGCACATTTATAATAAATGAAAGCTCACTATATGCTAGGTAATATGTAAAAAACAAACCAACTGCAGTTGAGTTGATTCTGAGTTACGATGACCCCAAGATTTAGAGAGGAGAACTGCTCCATAACGTTTTCTTGGCTGTCATCTTTGTGGACGACTCCTCATGTGGCACTTAAGGTGAGCACTGGGCTATGAACCACAAGATTGGCAGTTCAAACCCACCAGCTGCTCCTTGAAAACCCTATACAAGGTTGTTATGAGCCGTAACTGACTCGACGGCAACATAACAACAACAATCTTTGTGGAAACAGATCTCCAGGCCTTTGTTCTGTGTCACTACTGTTGTTGTTGTTAGGTGTCATCTAGTTGGTGCTGACCCATAACGACCTTATGCACAGTAGAACGAAACATAGCCCGATCCTGGACCAACCTCACTACTGTTGCCACACTTGAGACCATCGATGCTGCCACTTGGCCAATCCATCTTGTTGGAGGTCTTCCTGTTTTTCTCTGACCCTCCACCTTACCAAACATGATATCCTTCTCCAGCGACTGCTCCCTCCTGACAGTATGTCTGAAGTACGAGAGACGATGTTTGGCCATCTTGCCCTCCAAGGAGCACTCTGGCTGCATTTCTTCCAAAACGGATCTATTGATTCTTTTGGCAGCCCATGGCACTTTGAATATTCTCCTCCAACACCATAACTCAAAAGCATCAATTCTTCTACAGGCTTCCTTATTCACTGTCCAACTTTCGCATGCATATGAGATTATTGAAAATACCATGACTTGGGTCAGGCTCACTTTAGTCCTCAAGCTGACATCTTTGCTCTTCAACACTTTCAAAAGGTCTTGTGCAGCAGATTTGCCTAATGCATTATGTCGTTTGATTTCTTGACTGCTGCTTCCATGAATATTGATAGTTGATCCAAGAAGAATGAAGTGTCACCACTAGGTGGGTTCAAACTGTCAACTTATACATTAGCCATCAAGCATATATCATTTGTACCAGTCAGGGACCACAGGCAACATATACTGCTAGGAAATCAGAGCTAACAATATAAAACTCTGGACCTCCTGGCATTTTCATTCTAGTAAGAGGACTCCTGGTGTGGCACTGTAGGATCAATGCGGGACAGCAAGGTTAATTTGAACCACAAGGTCAGAAGTTCAAGCTTACCAGTCACTCCTCTGAAACTGTATACAGGGTCGCTATGAATTGGAACCAACTCAACGACACTTAACAACAAGTTGTGGCACTGTAGTATCAACACTGGGCTGTGAAATACAAGGTCAGTAAGTCAAACCCACCAGCTGTTCCTTGGAAATCCTATACAGGGTGGTTATAAGTCAGAACCAACTCGACGGCACTTAACAACAACATAAGAAACCCTGGTGGTGCTGTGGTATAAGCACTGAACCACAAATCAGCAGTTCAAACCCATCAGCCACTCCACAAGAGAATGGTTGTCTGCTCCTGCACAGATTTAGTCTTGGAAACCCTATATTGGGTCCCTAATGAGTCTGAATCAACTCGATGGCAATGGATTTGGTTTGTTTTTTGTTTCTAAAAAGGGATACAACAAACAAATACAAAATGGCAAGGAATAGAAAGTGCTATGAAGACAAAACCTAACAGCCTAAGAAATGACAACAGGGAAGGAGCTATTTTAAGGTGGTCAAAGAAGAAGGCTCTCAGGAGTTGACATTTGAGCTGGATGTGAAAATAGAGCACAGTGGACAGCAGGTTGTGTGACACCTGGACAAGGGCGTGCAAGACACGACAGCAAACACAAGGTCTAAAGATGAGGGGGTTCTTGGTGTGTTTAAAAATAGCCAGGAGGGCTACCACTACCAACTGCTCTGCAAGGGTTTACTGATAAGAGTGGGAGATAATGCGAAACAGAATTAGAAAAAAATGACCGGACTTACGGGTCAGAAACTAGAGGACCCCAAGACTATGGCCCTTGACCCCCCTTCAGGTCTGAAAAGGATCTCACCCTTGTGGCCCAATTTTCAGTCAAGCAGTAGACAGGTATACAGGGGGGACAACACTAGTAAGGTATGGTCACCATGGAATGACCAATCATTCAAAATCAAAGGGGCAACATTTACCTAAGAACAAAGTTGAGAAGGGATGGGAAGGTGGGTGGAATGGAAATAGGAACCATAGGGAGCAAGTGGGATAACTATTATTGCATGGAAGGGAATGCAATCGTTGAGATGAAACAAAGTATGTGATTCATTCATTTACTGTAAAGCTGCTCAGGAAAAACGAAGTTACCTACAAAGGAGAACCAATAAGACTAAGCTCTAATTTCTCAGCAAAAAACCATGCAGGCAAGAAAACAGTGGGATGACATACACAAAACACTGAAAGAAAAACTGCTAACTAAGAATCACATACCCTCAAATACAAAACTAGGGCAATTCCTGATAAACAGAAATTAAAGGAATTTGTAATAACCAAACAAACTTTACAATAAATGCTAACAGGTGGTCTTTGGAGTGAGAACTAACAACAGCAGACAACAATCTGAGATGACCATACATGACACACCACCCAAAAGTCAGTCCAGATATGGAAGTATTTACAGTAAACAACATACAAGACTAACAATAGGGAACCAGAGGTATCAATGTATATAATGAAGTCAACTACAAAGCAGCAAGAGGGAATAGTGTAGCTACAGAACTTCCAAATGACAAGGATGTCAAGTAGATTTCAAGATAAAACAGCCTGTTTTAAATAGGAGGGAAAATAAAACTACAAGGTAACCACAAAGAAAAATAATACAACTGTTCATCAAAATTTAAAAAGAAGAACATCAAAAACATTTAGTACACATTAACACAACAGAAATGAAAATAAAAGAAAATTCAAACAAAATGAGCTCAACATAGAAAATTAGGTGGAACAAAGAATTCAGGAGCAGCAACACACACACACACACATGAAAAAATAAAACACAGAAAATTGACAGCAATCAATTCATGTTGTTGTTAAGGACCGTCGAGTTGGTTCTGACTCATAGCGAATCTGGGTGACAGGACAGGCAATATACAACAAGAGGGAGATTAGCAGAGGAAAGATGAAGGTAGCACCAGTCACAGGGAGGTCTGCAATAGTTAAAGTGAGTAGAGGTAAATACTATTAACTGTTGGTACATGGAAGGATTGCAACCATGTAATGAAGTATGATTTTTTTAACATGAAACTTATCATCTGCTCTGTATACCTTAACTCAATTTACAATACAAACTTGAAAAAAAGAAAAATCTTCCCAGATTATGTATGAGTATCCTGGCTAAAAACTACTGTACAAAATGATCATTAGATATACACATATATGTCATTAGATATAACTGTGAACATGTAATGACGTCTGTCTTAACCACTAGGCTACACACCAAGCCTATGAGGATTCTATCTGATTCATCTTTGCATCCCCAGTACCTGGCCTACTGTTTATATACACTATTGCCTGACCGCTAGTCCACCCACCCGCCCACTGCTGTAACATCTACTCCAACTCATTAACAACCCTGTAAAGCCTCAACTTTCTCCTGCAGAGCTGCTGGCAAGTTTGAACTGCCAACCTTGCAATTAGCTGTCCAGTGCTTATCCTACAGAGCCACCCAGGATAATTATATATAACCTGGGTTCAACAAATCTTTCTTGAAGAAATGATTCCCTCATACACTAATCTCCTATAATTTCAATAAAGCAGTCTTAGAACGATTCCAAGAAAACCTAGATCAATGATACATTGACAGGCACTTGACGGGTTAATGCGTTGTACTGCAAAGTCAGCTTGAACAGCAAGATGGGCAGTTCAAGCCCACCAGCCACTCCTCAGAAACCCTATACAGGGTCACTATGGGTGGGAACCAACTAGACAGCACTTAACAACAAGTTACCAGCAATAACAATGATGAGTACAACATCATCATGAATCAAGTAAGTTAAATGCTAAGTCTTGCCTTGCTGCAAGTAAAAGAATAATGAAGCCTTGTCTGTAGCCTGAAGTCATGGCAAAAATGACACACACATGATAGGGTTACTCTAAGTTACAACCATAATGTGGATGTTATTGTTAAGTGCTGGATAGAGTTTCCCAAGAGCCGCTGGTGGATTTGAAGTGCTTACTCTACAGTGCCACACCAGGAATCCTATGACATGGTGATAATATAAAATCCCACACTGCAAATAACAATCAAATACCACCACCTCTCCACAACCTTAACGTCTCCTTTACTGATTTATGTGTGATTTAACTCACTCATTCATCTGATGGAGTGACAGCCTAAATCAGGCACTTCCAACACCTCTGAGCTAAACTCACCTGGGTACTTAAGTTTTCAAGAACAAGAGAGTCCAAAGCAATGGTGGAGAACACACAGGTTTTCCCAGTACCAGACTTCGCTTGAACAATTAAATCTGAAAAGGACAAAATGAAAGTCACTTGCGAATACTAACTGATGAAGCTTAGACACCAACAAGGCATCTGACAACCAGAAAAGATCTCCAGAGACCTAGTAGGCACCTGCATTGTTAGTTTACAATCAAAAACGCAGGAGCCTGTATCTAGAACCACGCCAGGTCTGAGCTTCTACCGCCGTTTAGACTCAACCCACGGCCGTCGAGTCGGCTCCGACTCCTAGCTTCTTAAGCTAAGCCTCAACTATCTTCAAATTCAAACAAACTGCGCCCTTGGTTTCACAATAGAGGCTCAAAGGCGTGCAGTTCATGGTCCAGGGCCGAGCCCAGCACAAGCGGCCAACCTGGCGTTCTTCTCCAGTCCCCGCTGCAGGCCCGCCGCTGCCGCTGCCGCCGCCCCTCGGGCTTCCCTCGGGTCTGGGGACTCTCACCAAGACCGCAGCGTCCCAGCGGAATGGCTTTGAGCTGCACCGGCGAGGGTCGCTCGAAGCCGGCCGCCCGCAGGCCCTCCAGCACCGGCCGTGACAGTAACAGCGACTCGAAATCCGCTGGCTCTGCCAGCAGCACGTCCCCCGTGCGGGTCCGCGGGCCGCCGAGGTCGTGAGCCGTCCGCAGGCTGTGCGCTGGCCTGGGAACTGGCTCCGGTGCCGAGCCAGGGGTGGTCACAGGATCCGCCGGCATATCCGTCTCCACGGTCGCTAAGGCTGCGGGAGCATCAAACTCTGCCGCCATGGTACACGCGCCGCCAGATCTCGCGATATTTGAGACGAGGCAACGCGCCTGAGAGGGAGAAAGAAGAAAACTTTATTGGCACTCTTCCCGTGACCTCACTGAACATACCTGGCCTTAGGGGAAAGAGGACGGAAGACGGAAGATAAGACTCGAGAGCCACAACAAAAAATGTGGCCTGAGAAAGGCGGGAAGGGAGAAGAGTGGGAAGCTAAGGCTACCGGTGTGTCGCTACAGCGGGCCCGCAGAGGGCGCCGTGTGCTCACGGTGGGGGCGCCGGCCCTCCTCCTGAGCCCTTTCTAGGTGGGGCCACTCGTCGGGCCGGGCCTCGCCTATCGCACAATCTCTTTGTGATGCGGCCGGAGCGTCACTCCTCCTGGCGTCCGCTCGGCTCGTAGTTCCGTCAGCCGGTGTCCTGCGCCGCCACGGCTTCTTCTCGAACCTTTCTTCACCTCGCTCTCTGCTTCTCAGAGAGCGCCCGCTAAGAGTCAGCATCGATTCGACTCGACGGCAGCGGGTTTTGTTTTGGTTTATGGTGTGTGTCTAGCTGCAAAACATCTTTATTCGTCCTCGGATCGCCAGCACCTGGTACATGGCGAACTCTGGTCAAACCAAACTGAATTGGAACCCAACACTGGAATTGAATATCGAACTGATGATACTGACAAACCGCTAACCGCTCTCTAAACGAGACTTCCCGATTTGATCCATCTGCTACATGAACATTTCTACTGAAGAGTCTCGTAACTTGCCAAGGCGTCGAGTCTAGGCATCTCAAGCTGAACGTGTCTTGTATGCCTTGTTCTCCGTCATCTCATGGGTGGACAACTCGCAGTCTTTACTGCGTTCCTTTACTTTAGGTCTCTGCTCAGATAACACCTTTCCAAACAGGTCTTTCCGGATCACCCCACATAAAGCCTGTCTACCCCCCCCCCC